TTTTTTTTTAATTTTTTATTGTTGGCTGTTCAAAACATTACATAGTTCTTGATATATCATATTTCACACTTTGATTCAAGTGGGTTATGAGCTCCCATTTTTACCCCATATACAGATTGCAGAATCACATCAGTTACACATCCATTGATTTACATATTGCCATACTAGTGTCTGTTGTGTTCTGCTGCCTTTCCTATCCTCTACTACCCCCTCTCCCCTCCCCTCCCCTCCCCTCTTCTCTCTCTGCCCTGTCTACTGACATTCATTTGTCCCCCTTGTATTATTTTTCCCTTTCCCCTCACTTCCTCTTGTATGTACTTTTGTATAACTCTGAGGGTCTCCTTCCATTTCCATGCAATTTCCCTTCTCTCTCCCTTTCCCTCCCACCTTTCATCCCTGTTTAATATTAATCTTCTTCTCATGCTCTTCGACCCTACTCTGTTCTTAGTTACTCTCCTTATATCAAAGAAGACATTTGGCATTTGTTTTTTAGGGATTGGCTAGCTTCACTTAGCATAATCTGCTCTAATGCCATCCATTTCCCTGTAAATTCTATGATTTTGTCATTTTTTAATGCAGAGTAATACTCCATTGTGTATAAATGCCACATTTTTTTTATCCATTCATCTATTGAAGGCAACATGATTAACTTTCAAATGAAAGTCTACTAGATATTTTATTTCTTTTTGTTAGCAGTTAGCAACAGTGCTAATGAAAGAATTTATAATATATATATATTTAAGTATTTATTTTTTAGTCGTAGTTGTACATAATACCTTTATTTTATTTATTTTTATGTGGTGCTAAGGATGGAACCCAGGGCCTCACACGAGCTAGGCAAGTGCTCTACCGCTGAGCCACAACCCCAGCCCGAAAGAATTAATATCCACAGAAAATTTCAAACAAAAATAATCCAAAATCAATTTATATTTGATGTTGTAAAATATTATTTTAAATTTTAAATTTAATTTTTATCCAATACATAAAAACAAAAATTATACATACTAACAGGGTACCATGTAATGCTGGATACATGTATATAACTCATAATGTTTAAATCAGGATGAACATATTTATTTTCTCAAACATTTATCATTTCTTTATGGTGAAAACTTACAAAATCCTTTCTTTTTTTTTTTTTTAATTTTATTGTAGTTGTAGATGGACAGAATGCCTTTATTTTATTTGTTTACTTTTATGTGGTACTGAGGATCGAACCCAATGCCTCACACATGCTAGGCAAGCGCTCTGCCACTGAGCTACAGCCCCAGCCCACAAAATCCTTTCATATAGCTCTCTGAAATGTATAGTACTTTATTGTTATCCTAACCATAACAGTACACCTGAGCTTGTAATATGTTATTTTTTTAAATATTTTTTAGATGTTGATGAACCTTTATTTTATTCATTTATTTATATGTGATGCTGAGAATTAAACCTAGTGCCTCACACATGCTAAGAAAGCATTCTGCCACTGAGCCACAACCCCAGCCCATGTGTTATTTTTATAGTAAGTTTAATGCACTGTTTTGTTTATACCAATGTTAGGAAAAAGCCAAATTCGGAGTTAACACATTCTTAGGTTATACTCTTTTCATATGTGGTTGGCAGTATTTGGTGCAGTTTATTTATATTGGATACATCTTGTTTGGTGTTTAGATGGTTGCAGCTGAGAGGAGGATAAATTACACAGATTTAGCCCATGTATTTATCATCATTTTTTCTAAATCCAATGGGTGAAATCCAAATGTGCTTTTTTATAAAAAGTAAAACCAAAGCTAAAATATGTCACAGCCATGGAAAATAGACATAATATTTATAAAATAGACATAATATTCCACTTTTGAAGTTCTTATAAATTATATCTGTTTATGGTTCTTTAAAGTGTCTTAATAAAATTTGTATTTCAAGGTTTTTCACTCCATTCAAGAGACGTGCACTGAACTTCTGAAGATAGTTGAGAAATATCAGCTAAGACTCAACGGTATGACATCATGGGTACCTGATAATTCCCATTGAAAATTAATATTAGTTTGCATTTTTTACATTCTTTGTTGGTGCATTATAGTTGCATATAATGGTGGGATTTGTTGTTACATATTTGTACATGCACACAATATAATGATATAATTTGCCCAATATCACTCCCCTAGTTTGTATTATTGAAAACAAGTCATTTAATGGAAAAATAGTGGCTTATTGAACTATTTTGTGAGCAGTTTTTTAAAAATATTTTTTAGTTTTTGATGGACCTTTATTTTATTTATTTGTATGTGGTGCTGAAAATCAAACCCAGTGCCTCACGCATGCTAGGCAAGCACGCTACCACCAAGCCACCACCCCAGCCGCTGTGAGCAGTTTTTAATGGCAAAATACAAACATTCATAGTGACCTATTCCCAAAATCCTTAGTATTCATATTCCCTAGTTCATCAAATCCTTTGACACAGATTCAAAAGTGATGTTCATTTTTCTTTCTTTTCTTTTTTAAAGTTCTAGGGATTGAACCTAGGGCCTCACACATGCTAGGCATGTACTTTTTAAAATTAATTTTATTTGTTTAGTTGTAGATGGACACAATACCTGTATTTTATGTGTTTATATTTATGTGGTGCTGAGGATCGAACTGAATGTCTCACCCATGCAGGTGAGTGCTCTTCCACTGAGTCACAACCCCAGTGCCTAGGCATGTACTCTTACCTCTGAACTATATCCCAGCCCTCTTTAAATTTTGAGATTGGTCTCATTCTCTAAATTTCTCAGGCTGGTGTGGAACTTGTGATCCTTTTGCCTCAGTCTTCCAAGTAGTTGACACTACAGGTGTGCATCTTCTCACCATGCTGATATTGTTTTCTTGCCAAGAGTCTTAAGTAGATTTGTTTCCATCACTTAAAAGCTTCTTTCTTGACCCCCACTTACTCTCAGAGTTAGCCCATTTCTCTCCTCCTCATACGGAAAAATTTGGCATAACTGTGTGCAGTCTATTCCTTTCTGTTTGCTTAATTTTATACCCACTCTAGTTTTCATCCCTACCACTCCACCAAATTTCTCTTATCAAGGTTATGAAGAGGTAAGCCCAATGACCAGTCCTTACTTGGCTTATTATATCATCTAACACAGTTGATTATTATCTGCTGCTTGATATTCTCTTCACTCTGCTTCTAGGCACCACGCTTCCCTGGTTTTCTTCTTAATTGTTTTTTTCTTCTCATTCTGCTTTTGCTGGATTCTTCTTTCCCCTTGACCTCATTGGGTTGGAACTCAGTCTTGGATTTTTTTTTCCTGCTTAAATACAGTGGCCTACTGGATATGGCTACCCCTATGATCCTAGTTACCTCTCTGATCACATTTCCTAAAACCTGTCTTTTTGAACTTATATTGATCTCTTTCACAGCAGGCATGTCTTTACCGTGGACTCCGTAACTTCCCTTAGGTATGACCAAATGTCATCTTTATATTGAGGAATTCCCCAAACCCCATATCTAAAATACAGTACCCCTTCTCCTTCATAACTCCCTGTTATTTAACATTCTATATTTTATCTGCTGTTTTTCTTCTCACCACTAGAATATGCTTTCCTTAAGAACAGGACTTTGTCTATTTTATTTTTATGTCCCTGAAGCCTATAAACAATATCTAGAATCTACTCAGTATTCAATAAATATTTGCTCAGTGAATGAATGATTTCTCATGAAGCTATGTAAGTTAATCTTACTACTTTATAATCAAAGCTCATATACCATCCCATTAAATAAAGAAATCCAGGGCTGGGGATGTGACTCACTGGTAGCCTAGCAGGCATAAGGCCCTGGGTTCAATCACCAACAATTCAGAAAAGAACAGAAATTCAGTAAGGCATAGTTACTCAAGTATTTTATGAGTATCTGCTATGTGTAAGGCTATATGCTTTTCCCAAGGAAATAGTTGGGAGAAACAACTTTTGTAAAAATTAAGAGGTGAGTTCAGTATAGAAATAAAGACATGACTCTGAATTCCTATAAGTGAAAAATAACTGGAATAGAGCAATGCAACTCTATAAATGGGAATTGAGGTAAAACTTCAAGGGTTTATAGAACTGAATATATGGAGAAAAGATTTGGCATCTAGGGAATGAGCTTAAGAAATGAGAAGAGAATGCATGGGCAGAAGAGTTTCTAACTGAGACTAATAGGGGAATAAAGGAGCAAATGAAGTTTGGGGTCAGATTATTGGGATAGTATATTTTACCAAGCAATTAAAAGCTGTTACAGCCATTGGACCAAAGAAGTCTTGTGATAGAAGTGATGACAAGAAATATTGGCAAGTTTGTTTGTCTTAAATTTTGTCCTGAAATCATTAGATCTTTTAGCACTCTGACAGAACATTTCAGAATAAGGAAGAGATTACACATATGTAGATTTCATTATGTACTTTCTCTTTGAAATTGTATATAAATATGTGTTTTCTTGAAGACTCTTGTATTAATACATCTTCTGTTAGGATTAACATCAGACAAATATGGGAATTACATCAGGCACAAATAGTAAATTAGTACAGTGCTATAAATCTCTCTCTTTTTTGGTGCTGGGGATGGAATCTCTAGGAATTCATGATGAATGCTCAGAATGTTCTCCATTGCTGAGCTACACCCCAACCTCCAGTGTTATAAATATTTATGGAAATCACTTGACTAGGCGAAGAACATATCAGGGTGGGATCTCAGTAGATGTTGCAGGCAGCACAACACACTCGCAGCACACATTCAACCATATTCCCTGTTTTTTTGCATTGATAAAGATAAGACTCAGTGATGCTTATATTCACTTGATACTTTATAATGAAGTATACTAGTTTCTCAGAGATATTTCTGAATCATCATACAAAAATGAGTATTTTTCCTAGTAGTTTTCACTGAGGTACATTTATAAATTTCTGACTCAAAGGAAATGTACATCTCTCAATTAATCAGAATATTAAATTAACATGACTCCCCCCAGTTCCAATCTACTCTGGATCAGGTGAGTTGTTCATAATATGATAAATGGTTTTATTAAAGAGGATACCAGAGAATGTACAGTCACCCCCCATGACACTACCATGTTCTAGAGTCACTTGTAAATATCACAGAGAGAAGCAGCAGGATTGGGGAATCTGTAGATGAGAAGGGCCGATTCTATTGCTGGCTCAGAGGAACATGGGGACGTACCTAAAATTTTAAACTTCAGTTTTTCTGCAGTGCACTAAGGTGAGAGTAGGTATGACATTTGGTTTTGTTTTGTTCAATTGGACATTTTATAACTTTTCCCACTTATCTATCTTATTGTGGTTAGAGTGTCACTTTATACAATATAATTGTTTCTAAAACTATAGTGAGGGACAACTTTTTTTGTTTTGTGGTTTACTTCTAATCTGACATTTTTGTAAGATAAAGTAAAAGTGGAATTTTAGAAAATGAGATTTAAAAAGACATGTAAATGCAAGTTCTGTTTCTCCCCCTCCTCTTTTTTTTTTATGTGGATTTGGCACTGAACTTTGGGGCTTGAGCATGCTAAGCATACATTCCACCACTGAGCTGTACCCTAGCCCCCTACTTTTTTATTATTAGATTTGACAGCTAATGACATAGAATGAATTGGACATAACTTTCCTATGTTCATATGGGAATACACAACCCGTGTAACTCCACATCATACACAACCACAATAGGAAGTTATACTCCACGTATGTATAATATGTCAAAATACACTCTATTGTAATGTATATCTAAAAAGAACAAATAAAAAAGAAAAAGAAAAGATCTGACAGTGATAAAATACTCATTCAATTAGCAAAAGTTTCTACACAATTACTCTGGTAACCAATAATTATTGACAGGTGCTAGCCTGAAACTTTTAGGGTTTCTGCAGCAGAACTGTGGACATTTGTGGGTCTGAGATACTAAGGATGAGAATCACTAATAAATCAACAACTATATAAATAGGAAAAAATACTTTGTAAAAGGCAATGAGTCTAAAATGTATTTCTGCACATTTGAAAATGTAATTTTCTTCCTTTTTTTTGTTTTATTTTTTTCACTAAAGATCAGTTTTCCCAAAGCAAGGTCTATCAATTCACTGCATCAAAATGATCTGGAATGCTTGTAAAATGTGTATCTCCAGAAATATAAAATCAGACTCTCTGGAAATGAAGCCCAGGAATTTTCATTTTTACAATAAGTCTTTTCTTCTTCCTTCCTAAGTAATTCTTATACTCCCCAAGTAATTCTTAATATCAGAATTACTGGTGTGAGAATTTTATTTTTTTGTGTGTGTATTTTAAATAATTGATGGAATGAAATAATTAACTATACTATATTTTCCCTCTAGTTATATCAGAGGAAGAAAATGAGCTAGGGCTCTTTTTAAAGTTTCAAGCAGAACGGGATGCTACTCAAGCTGGAAAAATGATGGATGCCACTGGCAAGGCACTCTGTTCTTCTGCCAAGCAAAGGTTTACCCATGGCTTTTCATCATGTTTATATCTATAATCTATTTGACAATTTTGACATATGTCTTAAGTTTGCATGTTTGGAAAGGAAAGGTCATTCCAATGAAGAATTAAGGAAAAAAGAAGCATATTGTAGTATACAATTGTTTTGATGCCTAGCTCTTAGTTATTAATTTTGTATTTAAAAGAACTATTCTAAAATTGATGTTCTTCATTGCTTAATTCCTAGAAATAGCCTTTAGGCCTATATTTCTATTTCGTAAATGACTTAATGTAAGAGTCACAGAATGGCTAACATTTAAAATATGAATATTTCCACTTTTTCTTTTCACATTCTAGTTTGATAGGCAAGTGCTCTACCACTGAGCTACCCCACACCTTCTTTCACTTTTTTTTTTTTTTTTTTTTGGTACATAGATTGAACTCAGAGGCACTTAACCACTGAGCCACATCCCCAGCCCTTTTTATATTTTATTTTGAGAAAGGGTCTCACTAAGTTGCTTACGGTTTCGCTAAGTTGCTTAGGCTAGATTTGAACCTGCAATCCTCCTGCTTCAGTCTCCTGAGTTAGGGTTAGGGTTAGGGTTAGGTGTGTGCCACCATGCCCAGCCCTCTTTCACTTTTTTGATATTATACTATCTTTAAGAACATTAAGACTATTCTTTTAAGTGGAATTCAATTTTTTCTTCTTAATTTTTGTTTTCTATATATCATTTCACGATATTTTAGCATAAAGCTACTTGCCCCAAAGAATCTCCTGTTAATATAATCTGAATTTTTGAATTTCAGAAGAAAAATGAAAACAGGCCTTCTTAGGCCTGTAAAGATGATGTCCAGATTAAGTGGCTTTATTTCAAAGCCACCACATCAGTGCAGTAGTCTATCTTGAAGATAGTGAGACAGAGACTCAGTATAGGGCCCTCTAGTGCCATAAAGTCAAAAGCAGTGTGGAGGAGCTGAATTTGCTTTGTTTCTTAAGTACTTTACCTCATCCTCATATGCTAAGAATTCCATACTCATTAATTCTTCTAGCATTTTATCTGATCTTCTGCACCCAGGCTTTTCCTAAACTTTCCAAATAAAAGGCTGTGTATGAATTGGATTGTGTTTTATGAATTCAGGTTCTCTGTTCCCGGAGAACTTTTTTCTAAATGGTAGGGTTACTTGGCAGATTATCTATGCATGAACTAATATCCACAATGTTGCAAACATTATAGATTTTCTTAAGTAAAAAAGGAAGTACAAAATATCATTATTAATTATTCAAAATTGGCTATGTTATTTCTATTTGCTTTCTCTATCTCTTTAGCCATCTTGATAATTTCCTATCTGTAAACTAATTTTTAAATTTTTTATTTATATATGACAGCAGAATGCATTACAATTCTTATTACACATATAGAGCACAATTTTTCATATCTCTGGTTGTATACACAGTATATTCACACCAATTTGTGTCTTCATACCTGTACTATAAACTAATATTTATAGCACAATGCTTTTTGATTGATTGGTTTAAACTTTTGTTTTACATGTGGGATGTACAACCCTCTGATTCTTACCTCTCTGTCACCAGACTGGCCTTGTGTACTCCTCTGTCTCGTCTTAAGCAAGAAGTAACAACCTTCAGTCAAAGGGCAGTATCAGATACCTTGATGACAATTAATAGGATGGAGCAGGCACGCACAGAATACAGAGGAGCTCTCCTGTGGATGAAAGATGTCTCCCAAGAACTGGACCCAGACACCTTGAAACAAGTGGAAAAGTTCAGAAAAGTATGAAAATATGTCACTTTCCTTTTCTAGTTACATAAAATATGGAACTGATACAGAATGAAGATTATAAAATATGATTATATACTAATACTGGACTGTTTTTTAAAAACATATGCTTTATTATGAATTCTTGGTTGTGTGGAGATTTTGGTTAAAGTATAAAAGGTTGTTATTCTTCTATTTTTACTCTTTGAATGGCATGGTATCCCTACCTCAACAGTCTTTTTTTTTTTAATGTGTGTGTGTTCTCTTTTTTTAATATTTATTTTTTAGCTTTAGGTGGACACAATATCTTTATTTTATTTTTATGTGGTGCTGAGGATCGAACCCAGTGTCTCACGCATGCCAGGCGAGCGCACTACGGCTTGAGCCACATCCCCAGCACCCTCATCAGTCTTTTTACTAATCTTTTTTATCCCTCTCATAACCTAATTACACTTTAAATGTTCTTTATCTGGACTTTTGGAACTTGTTTGTAGGAAGAAAACTGTTTATTACTGAGGAAAAAATATCTAATTTAAGTAAAAATTTGTGTAAAATTATTAATTTTAAGAAAAGGGAAGGTTCTTAAATTTTTCATTCTGCCAAAATACAAAGTTTGACCACAAACCTTGTAAGCAACTATCTATGTATGGACAAATGTTTTTGCTAAATAAGCTTATTATAAACCATATCCTCTACATTTACTATGCCTGGACATTAAATTTCATTCATTCATTCATTCATTTCATAGAGAAGCTATAATAAATATTTACTATTGATGGAGCTGTATACTGTGCCAGCTATTGTAAGTGGTTTGCCTCATTGATTACTCCCAACAGCCTTGTAAAGTAAGTGAACACATGACCTCAAGCCCCAGAAACCTTTTATTCCATCCCTCTTACAATCCTTGACAATTAGAATTCAGTGCAAGGGGGTAGTTGCACAACATTGTGAATGCCCTAAATGCCACTGAATTGTACACTTTAAAATGGTTACTTGTAATGTTATGTGAATTTCATTTCAATTAAAAAAGAAAAACAAGAACGCAATCCAAATTCCTATCTGAACTAAAAAAGCTCTGCATTGTCTGATCCCTGGTCCTTCTACCGTCTCATCCTGTGCTTGCTTCCAGTGCTCCAAGAAGAATATACTCTACCCTATGCCTTCCTTTTTTGAAAACTTGATAAGCTCTTTGCCCTCTCCCACTCGTAGAACCCTTGTCCTTGTTTTTCCCTGGTCCTGCAATACTCTTCATTGCGTCTCAGCATAGCCTGCTCATCATCTTTTGTCTCAATTGAAATGTGAGGCATAAACTCACCAAAGTTTGCCCAATTTTATTAAAAGTAGTCACCCATTTTTTCAACTTATTTGCTATTTTGCAGCCTGAGATTATATTGTATATTTATTTACTATGTTTTTTTCCTGTGCCTTTCTACCCAGAGATGGTAGGAAAGTATCATAATATCCTAGTACCTTGAAGAGTACTTTGCATGTAATAGATACCTCATAAATATTCATTGAATAAATGAATTAAAAGTTGAGTGTTCACATTACTCAATCACTCCTGACTCACTCTCTGTATAAGAAATAGGCCTGAGTTTAAATTTATGAATGGCTCCATGATTCAGAAATATTATTAATGCTTCTCAATATTTTAATTAAGTCCCATTTCCATTTATTCTTCTGCATGTAGACAAATACTGTCCATAATCCTGAACATCTTAGGTCTTTCTTTTTATTTGGATTTTTTCTTATTAACTATATAATTTCCATCTATCATCTCATACTTTCTCAACCTAAAGATATCTACTAGAAAGAATCTTTTACAGTTCTTTAGAGTCTTCATTAATCACGGAATATTAATAATACTGGGCAGAGGAATTGGTATCCTTTATTACAATTTCATGTGTCTGAAAACATTTATTATGAACTTGTATGCTATATTTATATCTGTATTATAGATAATAATAGCATTTTTGTGATTACAGGTACAGATCCAAGTGAGAAATAGCAAAAGTTCTTTTGACAAATTAAAGATGGATGTTTGTCAGAAAGTGGATTTACTTGGAGCTAGTCGCTGCAATATGTTATCTCATTCACTCACTACCTACCAGGTACCCACCTCCATGGTCAGCATGCCCTTGCAGTAAAGATGAGTGGTGAGATTCCTTTTTAAAAGTTGTCTAAAGGGTACAAATAAATTATAGTTGATCAGATTCCTTTGAATCTGCTGTAATTGACTCATTGAGGTTACAACAGTCAGAAAATTATAAAGTCCTAAACTGAAAAAGACCTTAGAGATTATCTACTCTTGTAGCTTCACATTATTCTCCTTGGTGTTCTAGGGAGAGAGGGGACCACTTACCTGTAAATGGAAATGTTGAGAAGGCTAAATACAAGACCCCATTAGCTTTGATTCAACTAGAGCTTTTCAATTTCTCACTTTAAATTTCTACATAAACTTTCATATGAAGGAAAGATATTGTGGCTCCAAAAGTTTGAAAGATTTTCTGTCATTTTATGGATGAGAAAAGTGAAACCTATGAGAATTAAAATAAATAGCAATATTGAATTCAAAAACATAACATTTCTTTTTTTTAAGAGAGAAGAGAGAGAGAATTTTTTATTATTTATTTTTCAGTTTTCGGTGGAAAAACATAACTTTTCTAATTCTAGGTCATGTGTTTTTTTCATTCTGCCATATTACCATCCTAAATAGCTTTCTCCTCAGAGGTCTTACTTCTGCTTTAATTACCCCAAATCACACATAAATAACACATAATGAATAAGTTAGATATTAATAAGCAGCAGTTGCTGACTTTAATGTATATTTGTAAATAGCAAAGTAAAATGAACTGTACTTACATAGGAAAATAATAATAAAACTAAAGGAAATAGGTATTAACTCTATAGGGAATCTACCTAATTCAGTTCAAAACTATGGAATGTAGGAATCAAGAAAGATTCATTTGAACTGAGCATGATGGCACACACCTGTGATCCCAGCAGCTTGGGAGGCTGAGATAGGAAGACTGTGAGTTCAAAGCCAACCTCAGCAAAAGTGAGGTGCTAAGCAACTCAGTGAGACCCTGCCTCTAAATAAAATACAAAATAGGGATGGGGATGTGGCTTGGTGGGCAAGTGCCTCCAAGTTCAATCCCCAGTACCAAAAAAAAAGATGCATTTGAAAATAAAAAGTGCATGACTATTTGTGAAGCATGATGCCGTAACCCAATAACTATTAGTTCAGTTCTTTTATTTTCTCCACTCATTCCCTTCACTTTGAATACAAACACTGAAGCAACAACGAAAATTTTCAATTACCTGAGTTAGCTTGAGAACAACACATTTTTGGAACAAATCTTTCTTGAACCCTCAATGAAAAGCCAAATTAGTGGTAAATATTTTCTCAAAAAGATGCTCTTATATGATAGCAACATAAAGATTATACATTATGTCTATCCTTCTATAGTGATTGGCATTTCCATGCTTTTAACATTTTGCTTTTGGATTCCTCAGGTGTTCTGATCCATTAGTTTTCTTTCTTTTAGCTGCAGTCACTCTCTAGGCTCTAGTGTGCATTCCAGTGCTGTTTAAAAAATAGGCACACATGCATGCAGACATTGGTGCTAACTTTCATGTAAAGTTATGATTTATAGTTCAACTTTTCTTGAACAATTGAATTTAGTGCCTGCTGTTTCTTGTGCAGCAACTATTCATATACTACACTAGTGAGGAAATAGAGCACAGAACTGATCGTGGAGGAGAAGCAGAACTATAGTGTCACCTTTTCTTTTTCTGCAGAGAACACTGCTTGGATTTTGGGAGAAAACAGCTCAAATGATGTCCCAAATCTGTGAGGGCTGTGTTGGCTTTCATCCATATGATTTTGTAGCTTTCAAGGTACATTTCTTCCCCCTGTTTTCTTGCTTTGACTTATTATACTTCATTTGGGTGATAACATTGAAACTATTTTTTGCTAAGTTTAATTTCTTTTTTTTAAAGAGAGAGAGAGAGAATTTTTTAATATTTAGTTTTTAGGTTTTTTTTTCGGCAGACACAACATCTTTGTTTGTGTGTGGTGCTGAGGATCGAACCCGGGCCGCATGCATGCCAGGCGAGCGTGCTACCGCTTGAGCCACATCCCCAGCCCTAATTTATAAAATATCAATTCAAATTTATAAAATATCAGGCAACATTTTCCTGCACTCTTTCAGCCAAGGATCAGCACTTGCCTTATTCCAAATGCTGCCAGTAAGACTAAAAGCCATGGAAATACTGCTGGCAGATTCAAGGTATTAGGGAATGTGGGCGAGTGAAAAGAAAATTAAAATGCAAAGGAGATTTTTTAAAGGCTATAGAAGGAAAAATTTAACGGGAACAAGTGATGGGAACTGATCATGTTCAACTAAAGAAGTTTAAAAGACAAATTTCCTTGTTTTACTCTTATATAGATATGGTTAATGATGCCCCAAATATGCCAGTTATGGTCATTACTATGTGTAATGTCTTGCAACGCAAGAGACTACTAACATATTAGATCAGTTCTTTCTGAAACAGTTACATGTGAAAGATGCTTTTTGGCTATGATTACAGAGCTTTTGACATCTGTATGTCTTACAGTCATCTTTGCGTGTGGCTCATCCAGAAGAGTCACACTGTGATAGTCATTTCTTCAGTTCTGATAGCCTAGATTTCAGTACCTTTTAACTTGCCATTGTGCCTTGTTTTCAGTAGAGCATGAAATGGGTTGCTGTTGTATTTCTTCAAGTTGAATATAATATTTGCAATGGGTTCATATCCTGTAACCATATATTACTGGGCTTTGGGATGGATTTTTATCTTATGTTCTGACATGGTATCTTCCAGCCCCAAAGATGCCCTTAAAGTTTGTTTTACTTTTTCTATAGTTGTTAAACCAGTCTGTCTCTAGTCCACATCACAGTGTCTGCGGTTACCACAGGCAGCCAGGATAAACAAGTACATATGTGGGGCTCAGTTCAAATCACATTAGCACATATTTACCATATTTCTCACTCTAGTTCAGAACTATTTCTATATTGTTTTTTAGAGTTTTTATTCTAATTTTGCATGCAAAGAGAAACAGATTCTTTCCATCTACTTAACATTGAATTTCTTATCTTTAGAGACTACAAGATACTCCAAAGAAACTTTCTGAAGATCACAAAGAAGAACAAATAGAAGGCAGTTTTCTTACTGAAAACCTCCATAAGTAAGCCAGCAAATCTGTATACTGTAAGGGAAGTCCTGGACACCATCCTATGATATATGTGGGAAGAATTGTTTCTTCTCTTGTTCATTAATACTTATTTCTACCTCATTTTTACAAACAACACATTTGTTGTTTCAAAACATTTGTTTTGTTTTTTCTTCCCTCATTTTTAACACTACAGGTAAAGGAAGTAACAGGAGTACTAAACAAATTGTGGTGATACTCCAGATTCTGTCATTTGGGAGTCTTATATTAAGAGCCACGAGTACCTCTGTTGCAGGGACAGCATGAGAGAAGCAAGGGACAAGGGCCAGCAATTGTGAGAAAAGCTATTAAAAATCTATAGCAACTCAAGAAGCTGAGTCAGGAGGATTACAGGTTCAAGGCCAACTTAGTAAGACCCTGTTTCAAAATAAATAAATAAATAGATAGATAGATAAGACTGGGGATATGGCTCAGTGGTAGAGTATCCCTGGGTTCAGTCCCCAGTACTGGGGGGGAAAATCTATCTTTATAACAACACAGATAGGACTGGAACTGGTTACGTACATCCTTCTTATTACCTGTTTCCCTCTTATTAAATCTTCCCCCTGTTTCTCTTTCAGAGTGCCACAATTATTTTAAGCAGATTGACTCAATATAACAACAAACTCAGAAATTAGGCCCAAATAATTACAAACCATTATTGCTGAATCAAAGGTGATCCTAAATATAAGGCATTTCCCCATTTTTCTCTATAGGAAATCCAAACCGATTTTTTTTTTTTTTTTGGTAGTGGTGCTGGAGATTGAACCCAGGGGCTTGTGCATGAAAGGCAAGCACTCTATCAACTGAGCTATATATCCCCAGCCCCCAAACCAAATTTTTAGCTAACTTAAATACATAAATGTTTTAGATCAATGTTTAGTAAATGTTTAGCTGTACATTAAACTTACCTTAATTACATATTGACATTTGAAATCATATGCTGCTAGGCGTGGTGGAGCACGCCTATGATTCCAGCAACTCAGGAGGCTGAGACAGGAGGATCACAAGTTCAAGGTTAGCCTCAGCAACTTAGTGAGACCCTGTCTCAAAATAAAATATAAAAAGGACTAGGGATGTAGCTTGGTGGTATGGAAACCTTGGGCTCAGTTTTTAAAAAAATAACAAAAATATCATATGCTAAATGAAATATATTAATCTAGTATTTTTATTCTCATATTTCATGGAAGTTTTATTCAGAAGCTTCTCTTGCATCTTCAAGATGATGAGAACATCTTTTTGAGTTAACTAACAGATTCCTAAGCACTTCACCTTCTCTTCCATCTAAGTTGTTTAAGAAAAATATACACATAACTGTCATTGGAAATTTTGTTTCAAGTTAAATATCTTTCTGCTTTATAGGATTTCTTTTAGTATTTGCAAATAAATATTATATTGCTTTTTAAGTGTCTTTAAAGACTTATTAAAATACATCTAATACTAGCAATTATGAGATTATGCCCTAGGAATAATGGCTAAATCTGTATTCAATCTCTTTATCTCATTTTTTTATTATTACATGGATTCTATAAATCAACACATTAGATAGAAGCCCTAAACATCCAAAATTAATATTGACTGAGGATATTTTAGGCAAATGTCTCTTCTTTCACAAACATCACTTTATTCTTTAAAATAGAACTCCCCTACTTTTTTCTGGAATATTCTTCATTCCCTTCATTTATTTCCTAAGAGTTCTTAAACAAAACCCTCTAAAACTTGAAAATAAAACTTCTTACAGAGTTCTCTAAAATGCTTACACCAGAGGTGTTTCACATTTCATAACTTTTGGGATTTTGGAATATTTGCATATACATAATGAGATATCTTAGAATGGGACCTAAGTCTAAACATGAATTCATATATGTTTCATACACATTACCTGAGGAAATTTATATTTTTAATAATTTTGGACATAGTGTCGAATTTTTCCTCTTGTGGTATCATGTTCTCAAAAATTTTAGATTTAAGAACATTTGGATTTTTAAATTAAGGATGCTCAACCTTGAATTTAGCACAGTTCCTGCAATGCTGATGTACAGATACTCAGTAAGTGATTACTGAAAGCATAGAGATCTTTAAAACAGAAAATACTCTCAGATGTAAGTTTTGTGAGATCTACAGATAAGTGTTTTTAAGTTTCTTGACTTTAAAAAAGTTGTTTTTTTTAAACCATGCCAGGTGCTGTAACACACGCCTGTAATCCCAACAGCTTGGGAGGCTGAGGCAGGAGGATCAAGAGTTCAAAGTCAGCCTCAGTAATTTAGTGAGGCACTAAACAACTAACTAAGCAACTGTCTCTAATAAAATAGTTTTAGAAATATAGGGCTGGGGATATGGTTAAGGATCCCTGTTTAAGCATCCCTGGGTTCAATCCCCAGTAACTCCCCTGATAAAAGTTTTTTTAAACCATATTAAACTGAGGAATATGAATTCCAAATGTATTTTAACTAAAATCCATGTATTTTCTTTACTTCAGGGTAGTTTTGTCAGAAGAGGAAGCAAGCTTTGGGAGTGAACCAGGTGAGATGGTAAATTCTTTACTTTGTAATGGTCAAATTAGATGTTAAAAGTTTATCCCAATTTTTAACACAGAGATTGTGTTAATATCCATTCAATTTTTTAAAATGCTAAGTTTTTGTTCTGTACACTTTCATGTTATCTTTCAAGGAGTGCCTAATTAGAGGGTCTAGTAGTCTTTTTTAGGTAGGTGCTTTTAAATGCAGAAATCTATTTTACAGGGCTGCATGATTAAGTTTCAAGTTTTCTTCACACTTAAATTTGTGTTCTTATTTTTAAAATAAATATTATATATGTATATATACATATATGTGTGTATATACATATATTTGATACATATATATGCATGTATATATATATATATATATATACATATGTATTCAACATATTTGAATCACTGTGGTAAAAAAAGAGTATAGAAAAAGTGAATTTGAATACTTTTTTTGGGTTCCGGGGATTGAATTCAGGGGCACTCAACCATTGAACCAAATCCCCAGCCCTTTTTGTATTTTATTTAGATACAGGGTCTCACTGAGTTGCTTAGCCCCTTGCAGTTGTTGAGACTGGTTTTGAACTCTCGATCCTCCTGCCTTAGCCTCCCAAGCTGCTGGGATTACAGGCGTGTGCCACTGTGCCTGGCTGAATCCTTAGTTGTTTTTTTTTTTTTTTAAATATTTTATAGTTGTACATGGACACAATACCTTTATTTATTATTATGTGGTGCTGAGAATTGAACCCAGGGCCTCACATATGCTAGGCAAGCACTCTACCACTGAGCCACAACCCCAGCCCTGAATCCTTAGTTTTTGAAAGCAAATCACTTATGCCGCTCTCAGTTGTATCATCTGAAATATGAGTAATTTGTGCCTACCTTAACAGGAACATTAAGGATAGAGATAATATTTACAAATTACATAGCACATAGCAATAAAAATGAGAGGTACTTATGTATATTCAAATATGTACATAAATAGATTATATGGATAAAATATTTTAAGAAGCCATAATTATGAATTTATATATGTAACACAGCTTCAAAATTTATGTTCAAAAGGTTAACTATGGTTTTGTGTATATCCTGTACCTAAAAAATAGAGAATATTCTTTAAAAGTCATAAAGAAAATATACTGAACATTATTGTAATTTCACTCTTCAGTCATAGTATTATCTTTAAAATCCTGCTGTGTGGGTAATTATATCCCCTTTTAAGTTCCAGACATTCATTTGGTCTTTATTCCTTTTTTCTTGTTTAATCTTGTTATAGGTTTACTCATTTCATTATTTTTTAATAAACTAACTTATAGCTTTGTTAATCTTCTCTATTGAATTTTTGTTTTCTGTTTTATTAATTTTGGTTCTTTATCATTTTTACTTTTCATATATCACACAAGTTTTGGAAAAAGCACCTTTAATCTGAGTGTGGTAGTCCACGCTGATCTGATAGTCCAGCTACTTGGAGAGACTGAGGTGGGAGAATCACTTTGAGCCTAGGAATTTGAGGTCAGTTTGGGTAACAAAGCTAGACCCTGTCCAAAAAAAAAAAAAAAAAGACCACTAGATGGGGTCAAGTTGTATTTAGTGATGAAGCTGCATGAGGCTCTAGGTCCTATCCTGGAACAAAAACAAAACAAAATGAAAAACCCCACAAACAAAACCATTCCAAATAACACTTTGTGTAGGTATATTTTAAATACCATAAAACTCAGTCATTCTAAGTATACAAGTAGTTTTTAGTTACTACTGAGAGGTGCAACCATTTCCATAAATCAGCTTTACAACATTTTCATCCCCTCAATAAGATCCCTTATGCCCATTTGCAGTATTCCTATTCCTATCCCCAGCCAGTCATTGACCTACTTTTGTTTGTTTGCTTTTGTGACGGAGTGTTACTAAATGGCCCAGGCTGCGCTGAACTCACAATCCTCCTGTGTCAGCCTCTCAAGTAGCTGAGATTATAGGTGTATGCCACCCTCCCAGTGGTTTCTCATTTATATTTGGACCTGTGCTTCTGTTTTCTATTTGTTTTATCACTCACTCCCATGCTTTTATCTCTGGTATTGGCTTAATATTTGAAGTTCTTATTGTTTGTTTTAAAATTTTTCTCTGTTCTTTCTTTTTTCCATGAACTGATTTGAAAGTTATACATTTTATTTCCATCTTTTGTGGTCTAATTTTAGCCTGCTTACCTAATAAAGTCCAAGGTTCATCAATATTTCAATTTCCCCAGAATATTCAAAAGACCTTAGAATACTAATCCCAATTATTGCCATACCAGCTCTTTAAGTATTAATATTTTATTTCTCTTTTTCACAAATTAAGAAATTATTTTATGAATATTAGATTTACCAATATTTTCCTTTCTTATTATTTCTTCATATATTTCAAATCTTCATTATGAGTTCATTCTTCTTATCTGCCCTTTAGTTTAAAAGTTGTTAAGAAGATATATTGGTGGTAAACTTGGCTTATATATACCTGGATATATTGTTATTTCTCACTTTTGAAAGAGTTTGCTCAGCAAACAATTTTAGGTTGGTTAGTATTTTCTTCCAGAACTTTGGTAATTTCAAAAATTACTGTTCCATCATTCCACTGGTTTTGTTGAGGAAAAGAAAAAATGTTAATCAGATTATTATTCCTGTATAGTGACTTTGACTTTTCTATTTGGCTACTTTTAGGATGTGTTCTTTGTTTTGGGTGTTCTGCTCTTTTAGTACAATGTGCCAAGATATATTAATTTTTGTTGTTGTTTTAATCTGTGATGGTATATAAATTGCATTCCTTAAATCTGTCTTTTATCTCAACCATTCTTACTTTTTTAGTTTGGTAAAATATGCATGGCTTAAACATTATTTTTTAAAATATTGCTTCTTTTCTATTTTCCTTATTCTTTCCTTCCTCCACTCCAGTAAGCTTATGGTGGACCCTTTCGTTAATTCCTTATATCTTTTAACTTCTATTTCATATTTGCCATTCCCTTTTCACTCTACACAGCACTGTAGGTAAGTTATTCAGATCTGTTTTTCACTAATTTTCTCTTCTTGCTTCCAGTCTATTGTGTAATGTATACAGCAAGTTTCCCCCTATACATTTTATTTCTAAAAGTTCTATTTGGTTTTTCTATGAATTTCTGTAGTGGGTTTTTATAGTCCTTTGCTCTTTCTTGCTTTTTGACTCATATTTGTATTTAAAAATACAAATATTTGACGTCCTCTAATTTTCTTGTGGTAGTTTGTTTAGTGATTTCTGATTATGAGCTAATTTTTATTTGCTCTCAATCTGTGAGAATCCTGGAAGTGTAACAAGTATTTGCTTATATTGCTTGGTTTCAGAGTTGAGGAATATTCATAGCCTGGAGACCCCTTTAACCTCCTTTCAGAGCCTGTCAGCTCAGTGTTGGAATTCTGGGATCAGCTTGGTTTTCTTGTGTTGAAGGCTTTGTCTCCAGAGAACAGTGTCAACATGGAAAGGGGATCTGTCTTTCCTCTTTGCTTGCTGCTCATCTTTCCTAGATCTGGATTTAGTCTAGATATGCATTAAAAGTGTTTTTCATAATTTTAGTGAGAATTCTTTTTTTTGGGGGGGGGCAAGGGTCCTTCTGAGTGTCTTATCTTCTAAAATTCCAAGTAGCATTTTTGCACAGGTAATAATAATAATAACATTTAAAAAATATTCAGCGTCCCTGGGACCCAAATAATACTAGCACTACTTATAAAAGTGAAAACTAGAGGGCTGTGGCTGTGGCTCAGTGGTAGAGTGCTCACCTAGGATGTGTGAGGCACTGGGTTTGATCCTCAGCACCACATAAAAATAAACAAACAAAATAAAGGTATTGTGTCCATCTACAACTAAAAAATATATATTAAAAAAGTGGAAACTGGAAAAAATTTTCTTGAAAATATAAACATTCCACACTTTGAGTAACTTTAGGCACTATGTTGAGGAACTTGAAATCCTTCAAACATTTATGCTATGAGATATCACTCAAGTGGTAGTTCTTAGGTGGAATAAAGCTAATCTTTTGAACTAGCCCTTCCTCATTCTTATACTTGTTTTTTTCTAGTATCATGTATCTAGGATGAAAATCAAATGAATCCAAATCCCACATTAATCACCAAACACACAGTGGAGTAAAGCAGACCATTACTGAAGATTTGGGGAAAGACAAGGAGGGAGGTTACCCTCATTGTAAACAGTATACTTCCTTGAGGATTCTTTAACAGATCTCTCAATTCCCCGGAATTATTTCTATGGCTTATAAAACTTGCTGGTGTGATTCTTCCTTTCTCTTTTTTTTAAAAAATTTTTTATTGTTGGCTATTCAAAACATTACATAGTTCTTGATATATCATATTTCACACTTTGATTCAAGTGGGTTATGAGCTCCCATTTTTACCCCATATACAGATTGCAGAATCACATCAGTTACACATCCATTGATTTACATATTGCCATACTAGTGTCTGTTGTGTTCTGCTGCCTTTCCTATCCTCTACTATCCCCCCCTCCCCTCCCCTCTTCTCTCTCTGCCCCCTCTACTGACATTCATTTGTCCCCCTTGTATTATTTTTCCCTTTCCCCTCACTTCCTCTTGTATGTACTTTTGTATAACTCTGAGGGTCTCCTTCCATTTCCATGCAATTTCCCTTCTCTCTCCCTTTCCCTCCCACCTCTCATCCCTGTTTAATGTTAATCTTCTTCTCATGCTCTTCGACCCTACTCTGTTCTTAGTTACTCTCCTTATATCAAAGAAGACATTTGGCATTTGTTTTTTAGGGATTGGCTAGCTTCACTTAGCATAATCTGCTCTAATGCCATCCATTTCCCTGTAAATTCTATGATTTTGTCATTTTTTAATGCAGAGTAATACTCCATTGTGTATAAATGCCACATTTTTTTTTATCCATTCATCTATTGAAGGGCATCTAGGTTGGTTCCACAGTCTTGCTATTGTGAATTGTGCTGCTATGAACATCGATGTAGCAGTGTCCCTGTAGCATGC